TAAGATAATTTAACAATAATGCTATATAGAAACTACACCTCAAATTTTAACAAAGAGCTACAAAATGCCTTTTAACACGCATTGTAAAGATGTTTAAAGTTGTTTTATCTGTCAAATTCTTAGCATGTGTTTTTGTGTGTATTGGGTTTACTTAAATAGGATTCAATTATATGTGCACAGTATTACACTAAAAAAAATGAGATTTTAAAAAACATTATAATCGAGTGATCACATATACCTACCTATAATTCAGACAATTCAAAACTGTTATTTTATTACCCTACTAATATTTTTTGAAACTGTATATCATACTATGTAAGTTAGTTATAAAGATTAGCTACATAAAATAAAAACATTTTTAATACATATTTAATAATAATGCTATATAGCTATTACATCACCCTAAATGGGGAAACATTGAAAGCATTTCTTTTAAATAGTGAAATAAATGTGGCTACTATCACCACTTCTATCAAACATTGCTCTGAATGTTCCACTTGATACAAAACAAAGAAAGAAAGAAAAAAGAGAGGTTATCAGAGGCATAAGGATTAGAAAGAAGGATAGAAACATTATTATTTATAGATGATACAATTTATTCAAAAAAGACCATAGGCAAATTATTAGAAATAAAAGGGTAGTCTAGCAAGATAGCTGGATATGAGATGAATATCTAAATGTCATGTGCATTTATATACATCATAGTATACAACTAGAAAATGTAAACTATTATTCACTTATAACAGTGTCAGAGAATATGTACTACCTAAGAAAAATCTAATAAAGGATATTCAAGATCCCTATACAGAAAACAAAATATTATACTAAAATTTTAAAAGACCTAAATAAATGGGAGATGTCACACTGATGGACAAAAATGATTAAAATTATATAAATAGTTAATTATCCTCACGTTGATCTGTGAATCTAATGAAATTCCTAATCAAAAGCCCAATCAAGTTTTTGAAAAGATGATTCTAAATGTATATGGAAAAATAAAGGGCCAAGAACAGCCAAGATGTTTCTGAAGAAGAGCAGAAAGAGACTTATCCTACCAACTAACAACTTAAATGAAGTTGTAGTAATTAACATGATGTACTGACTGTGGTAATGATACAAAGATAGATTGATCAACGCAATAGAATAAAGCCAAAAACATAGCCATGCATGTACAAAACTTTGGTATAAAACAGAATCAATTCCAGACAGATTAAAAACAAATTTCAGAAACAAAATATCAAAATACAAGTAAAATATTCGTAAAAAAATATAAATGAATATCTTTTTGATGTATGAACAGGAAAAAGATTCTTTAACAAAATATAAAAAGCACTATTAAAGGAAAGGTTGAAAAACCTGTATAATTCTTTTGTATACTTTTACACGGTTAAGTGAAATACAATAACAAAAAAGCTACATATAAAATCTATTAACATTTTTTTTAATGAATAAAGAGTAATTTTGTACCTTTGGAGCATATCCATAATTGAATAAATCCATTTTTTCTGAGAGTCAGGAATTAAGATCTGTGAATTTGTTGTTCCTGTATCAACAACACAAGTTCCAGGAGCTGAAAAGAAACTATCTTCTTCTTCATTTTCTTCCGTTAACAGTCGAGCTTCTCCACCCCCCAAAATAATTGCTGAACTTAATTTCTTATGCTTAAAAAAAAAAAAAAGAAAAATTTAAAAAGTAATTTAATAACCATTACTAATTTCTTGAGTACATTTTTATATAATCTAATTTGAATTGGATTAGATTCAAATTCCTGACAGGGCAACTTGAACTTTCATTTTGAGAAAATCCCTAGTTCAGCAGGTAACTCTGCAGCCCTTGAATCCATACACTGTCTGCACTTCACCACATTTACTACACAGTACTCTAACTGTGGGCTTACCTGCATGATTTTTCCACTGCTACATGAACTCTTGGAACCCCCATTTCAACACACAGAAGACATTTAACAGATATTTACTAACTGAACAGGTTAAGACTTGAGCTAGTTTTCTGTCCTCCCTATTTACATATTTATATAAAGTTGATCAAAAGGCCAACTAACAGATATTAAGAATATTGTAATCATATACATGATCACTAGGCAGGTTCTGGTGCCTGGGCAGATTTTCATTCTACTTTATACTTCTATATAAAATCTAAAAATGAAATGTATTAACAATTATTGATAAGAGTAATAATATATCCTAGTTTATAATGTTTTCTTTAGGAAAATTTAGCTTATAACATTACCTGTCTGGTATTTAAAAATACAAATGTTTTCCCTTTGAAGATTTGTCTTCTTTCCTGTCGTCCTGACAGATCAATATTTTTACTTCCAATAGCTGGTTCATCAATAGGTGGGTAAAAACTGTAAAAATAATTAAAGTATATTCTAATTACAAACTACTCTATGTTTACTATTAAATTTGTAAATAGGTTGACTATCTGATACTAGAAAGACTTAACTCCTCTAATACCATCACAGCAATTTTTTTTTACAGTAAGAGTTTTTTCTAGGACAAAATGACAAAAAGCATGTAAATGCCTTTTCTAGAAATATGGTGACAAGTGTCACATAGAATAGCAGAATTCGTCTTTATTTTCTCAAGATAATCCAACATAGACAATCATAACAAGATATATATTAAACATATATGAATCAAACAAGTTATGTGAATTACAAAATTCTGAAGAGAGACATCGCCCATAAAGCAAATTCTATTACTATCTTGTGTTTTCTTGGGAGCCAATACGTACAGTCATCCCTCAGTATCGGATGTTCATGTCTCTGATACAAAACGGCATAGGGAATAATGACAAGAAAAATGTTATACATATTCAGTACAGATATGTTTTTTTCCCAAATATTTTTGATCTGCAGTTGGTTGAATCCACTGACGTGGAACCCACTATTTCAGAAAGCTCATTATACTCACAATGCTCATGTTCCAGTTTTATGAACACTACTATAGTGTTTTGCTATAGGACTCTTTGGAGAAGTTCAGGAAATCTAAAAACTTACATTATTTTGTCAATGTAAATAAAATTTCCAAAGCAAAATTAAAGAACACAATGTTTTAGTTCTTTAATATAATGCTATAAGAACATCTTAGTTGTCCACAGAAATGAGGGAAAAGAAGAAAACAGAGAAGAAAAATCAACAGATAACTCTTAAGATTCTCATCAGTTCCTAGTTTCAACTTCCTGTGTAATCAAATCTTTTGCTACAGCTGTTCATAACTGGCCAGACTTTCAGCTTGTCTCTCTACCTCCTAATAAAAATTACTAATCCATTATGGTGATGGGTAAGGGGACAATGTAGGAAGGGAGAAATTCAAAACCTAGACAGTCACTAAACAATCAAGAGTTAACAACTGCAGAGAGCAACATCCAAAGTAGTGAAAAATACTATAATCATGAGTTACCATCCACCACTTTAAAACTAATTTCCTTACATTTTCCCTCCTAGATTTCTCCTTGGCAACATACATACTTCATAAAGTAAAGCTGAATCATGATTGAAAAGTCATATTAATTTTTAAAATTTTGATAACTGATTAAAAATCCAAATGCACGTGTTTTAAATCTGCTGCAATGGATGCTCTAACCCAATCTAAAGTAATGATTTCTAGTACCTACAATCTCAAATGAGTGAGTTAGCTACTGGCAAGAGCAGACTTAAGTTGATAGGATATGGTAGAGGATGCTATGTTAATTCTGGTTTTTCTAAATAACTGACTTTAAATTCTACTTATCTGTTAATTAAAATAAAATCTATAGTGAGAAGAGTGCTGGGAAATTAGTAGACATTCTCACACATAAATAGGATAAACATTTTAATATCTCTTCAAATTTATTTTATCCTTTATCCCTTTTAACAAATATTTCCCCATATCTTACACTTCTTCTAGTGTGAAAGCCAACTAACACTTCACTTGTATAGAAACAACTAATTTATGAATTAATCTACAAAAAAATGAAAGAACACTAGGATAGATGATAGAGCCAGTCACAGACAAAAATGGTGAGTAAATGTGTAACATATACACGACTGAGCAAATGTGAGATTCTTACTGCTTTCCAAAGACACTAAAACTTAATGATATTAAAATGATCTACAGCTGTGTATTACTTACATTGTTATTTTTAATTTTGCCATAGATAATAGTTATAGACAATATCCAGAGAACAGTTAACTGTAGTGTGGGTCAATGAAGTTTGAGCATTTGTTATACCCTGAGCCAGGTTCCTAAACACCAGTGTGATATACCCTTATCTCTCCTTAATGGCGCTACCAGAGCTCTAACTTTGTGTGATTCTAATCTTACACTTCTTCTAGTGTGAAAGCCAACTAACACTTCACTTGTATAGAAACAACTAATTTATGAATTAATCTACATAGCAATGAAAGAACACTAGGATAGATGATAGAGCCAGTCACAGACAAAAATGGTGAGTAAATGTGTAACATATACACGACTGAGCAAATGTGAGATTCTTACTGCTTTCCAAAGACACTAAAACTTAATGATATTAAAATGATCTACAGCTGTGTATTACTTACATTGTTATTTTTAATTTTGCCATAGATAATAGTTATAGACAATACCCAGAGAACAGTTAACTGTAGTGTAGGTCAATGAAGTTTGAGCATTTGTTATACCCTGAGCCAGGTTCCTAAACACGAGTGTGATATACCCTTATCTCTCCTTAATGGCGCTACCAGAGCTCTAACTTTGTGTGATTCNAGTGTGATATACCCTTATCTCTCCTTAATGGCGCTACCAGAGCTCTAACTTTGTGTGATTCTTCAATGTCTGGCTCCTCTAAGTGCCAAATTGTAACTTTTTTTAGTTCATCATCATATCCTCAAGTCTCTCTTGCCTTGTTCATGGTGGGTATTCAACACATATTCGGTAATAAAATAAACTGATATTACAAAACATAAATAAAAATTTTATCCAATAATTTAAAAGTGGACAAAAAGTATAAACATCTCTCAATTCCCTCAATATAGATCTGAGTATTAAAATTCTAGAATTGGAACAATGTATTTCCGTTTTCTATTGAGAACACCAGTAAATTTGAGCTCAAATACTTCATAAGACCAATCTTGAACAAGAAATACATCACTGTATTATCAAGAATCCAGCAAAATGTTGGCTATGACCCCAACATTCAGTTCAATTCTTGATTATATATGCACACATTATTTTGATATATTAAAGATTGATAGATAACTGAGAATACAGCAATAAAAAGCAGACTATGTTCTGGAACTTCATATACCTAGATAAGCCTTTTTCTCTTTAACAGTATAATGATGGGAAAAAGAAAGAAGAGACTAGTGATGAATGTGAAGAGATCATTAAAAATTAATATTTACAAAGCATTACATTCTAGAAGTTTTAAAGGATTTCTGATGCTCTGTAATACTGTAATCATGAGTCACAATCCAGCACTTTAGAAATAATTTTTTTACATTTTGTCCCCCAGATTTCTCCTTGGCAACATACATATTTCATAAAGTAAAGCTGAGTCATAATTGAAAAGTCATATTAATTTAAAAAATTAATAGCTAGTAAGAAAACTGGAAAACAGGAAAGTAACCTGGCAGAGACCTAGATTAGAGGCATATTGCCTGAATACAAGGCTACCACAAATATAAAGTGATCTCCAATTTTTCTTGTAAAAAAATAAAACATTTTTTGGCTTGCTTATATAGAAATTTCAGATAAAATAATTATTTTTATTATGTAGTAGCTGGTACATATTATTAATCACACATTTTATAAAATGATATTCATCTAGAAATATAGGCTTTTTCCCATTCACATTTTATGGCTCTTATTTAAATTCTTTACATGATCTTCAATAAATTTCATCAAACCCACAGTACATCACCTTCACTTCTGTCCAAAGATTTTTCAAATACAGAATTTTTCTGTATCCGTGTATAATTCTGGCCCTGGAAACTGTATCCCAAGTCACGAGTATTTATTTGTCCAATATCTGGACAGCTATTTATCTCATTAGTCCTGTAGGCACAGGTCCATGACTTCTAGAACCACTTACTATACTAGTTTTCTTGGCGATCTCTAAAAGGCTAGACAGACTATGTTGACACCCACAACTTGAAAATATGAGTTTCTGTCTCCAGGAAGAACTTACTAGTATGCATTAAATTTCTTTGCTTAGATTTCAATTGATTATGTAAGGAACTCTGTTAACTTCTAAACTTTCATTTACCGAGATTGTTCCAGGCTAATGTGTCTGTTAGGTCTGAGATTCATTACAAGAAACTAAGTTAACCTGTTCCCGTTTCATAAATGCTGGCAGGAGACAAAGACTCCTGGATCAGGGACAAAGCCAGTGGCATGAGCTTCAATATGTTTGCAGCAGGTCTCCTCCCTGATCAAGTCCCTTGGGGAAGATGTAGAAGGCATGTCAGTGGTTTGCATTACAGGAGAGAGGAACACTGCACTTGGGAATCTACCAATTTTACAATAAGCCTGCTCTTTGTCCCAGGAGGGAAACATTACTTCATCCCTCACGGTTTCTCACTGCAAACATAACCCTGAGAAGTGGCTTGCATATAAGAATACAAGAAACCCACGGAGCACACCCCTTCCCAACAGTGTCTTCCCAAAACAATACTTGTTGTTTGAAATAAAGTAATTGAGAGAGCACCCCGCAAACATAACCCTGAGAAGTGGCTTGCATATAAGAATACAAGAAACCCACGGAGCACACCCTTTCCCAACAGTGTCTTCCCAAAACAATACTTGTTGTTTGAAATAAAGTAATTGAGAGAGCACCCTATAAAATGAGAAACTTTATAAAAATTCAAATAAAAGGTAACTCCCTATCTTTTCTAAGGAATACTACCCTTAACATTTAAACATATGCAATATTTTGATGAACTCCCTCTATTAGAGTATTGACCATTAAAATTAAACACTGCTTATAAATGGTGTCTTCTAAAAATGACTTCATCTACAGTGGTACTTTGATGACAGTTTAGGAAAATGAGATATTGCAAGTCATGCCAGGTATGTTAAACTATAACTCTGTCTTATTGTTTCTTGGTAACAATGCAAAGATGCAGACATAGCTGCACTAAACAGGACTGCACGTTTTGCTCAGTAAAAAAATTATAGTATGCCTCCTGCTTTAAATCCAGGACTAGTAATTATGCATTTTCAGAACTAAACATTAAGTTTTTATGTAAACAAAAGTCATCACAATTTATTTGATATCCCTTTTATAACTCATTCCTACTAGTAGTTAATGTTTTTAAATTGAACACTTTTTCTATTAATGATTGAGCACTCACTCAGTCAAATAAGTCTTCAACAAGCCTATCAGAATGAATCCAGATAGGTATAGGAATCTATTAAGGCAAATGATAATATATTTTAAAATAATATTACATTATCAATTGCCATTACCAAATATGGGTTAATGCAATAGGCGTTTCTGCTAACACTGAATGAAGAGCATTCAACAATTTTATAGATGTTTTATTGTAGTCATGTATGTTAATACAGCCAGAAATTGAAGCCAGAAAGATATTATGCTGAACCTAATTAAAAAACAGACCCGCGTTAGACACACGTGAAAATGTGAATAAAAAGAGGAATCAATGAATAATTCTAAAAACTCCAAGACCATAAAACATGTCATCAGTAGTGAAAGCTTATCAGACCCCTATACCATCCAATAATCTAAAATTAACAATGATTTATTTATTATCTGTAGCAAGAGTCTTTATTTATAGGATTTATGGACTTCCCCAGGGAAGTTCATAAATAGGCTTCACAAGAAAATGTGACTCTGTTGGAATACTCTGAGGGTTTTTAGTATGTAAGTCAAGTTTCTTGAGGAGAGACTAGTGCTTTCATATTCTCACAGGGGTCTAGGGCTCAAAAAAGGTTAAGAATCATCTATTTTAAAATCTGATCTTTTTCTGGAGCCCCCAAATACTGCATTTTCTGTTAAACAGATTATAAAATACAAGAAACCTCCAGATAAAAATTATGAACAAAAAGAAAAAATTGATTTTTGGTTACTTTTAAAAGCAGACACTTATTATCAGGTATAAATAGTCCCTAAAAAACCCTACATTGGGCAAAATAGCTTATAACAGCTGGTGAGAGTCTAAAATTAGTAATAAAATTCTTAACTTGTATAACTCCTAATTTTTAAAACTTTCTGAAATATTCAAAATTGTCCTATAAAAAGATGAACTTATAAATATACAATCTATTATGCCATATAGACTATAATCTACTGACATATAAAGTGAGCAAATTCTTTTGCTACTAAATTGACTAAACACACCCACCATTTTACAGCCCCCAGCATTTTAATGATACAATCTGAAAAAGAAAAAAAAAATTCCAAATATCTTTCTCCTCAACTATAATTTATATTACTGCAAAGCATCACCAACACAATATATACAGCAAATAGATCTTCTAGTCTGGTGGGTCACAAATTTGGCTGACCATAAAAAAAAAGTAAAATAAAATAATAAAGCTATTACTGACTAACAGGTACAAATAAGCTGTCTACCCTAAGTGAAGTGTTGTGCAGCACATGCGTATATTGAAACAACACACTGTACTCCACAAAAATGTACAAGTAAATGTTAAAAAGTGAACTTAAAAATAAACATATACATAAAATTTAAAAAAATAAAAAAAAAGCTATTATTGAATCTGTCCAGACAATGTTGCTATTAGCAACAATTAACAAGCACTTTTTATGATACTAGGCAGGTGCTCAGACTTTGAGTATACTATTACTAACACTCAAAATAACTCATCTGGACAGGTATTAGTCTCATTTTTGTCTTTTGTCTTTTTCCGTGTCCGGCAACGGGATCGCAACCCTCGGCGCTGCCCCCGCGCCTCGCTCAGCCAGTGAGCGGGAACCGGTCTGTATGTGGGATCCGAACCCTCGGGCGGGAGCGCCGCCGCGCTTCCCAAGCGGCGCACTTATCCAGTGCGCCGCCGGGCCGGCCCCATTAGTCTCATTTTTGAAATGAGGTAACTGAAGCTCAGAAGAAATAAGCTCCATACCCAAGGCCACAGTGCTGCTAATATCCCAGCCCATGTCTATGTGGCTCTCAAAGAGGGCTGCTGCACCACGCACTTCCAGCAATACCTCTCACATGATGCCTGGTACTGGCACACGTGTTCTTTTGACTGTACCTCTGTGCCATTTATGGTCCTTCAATTTTTTTTCTTTAAATATTAGCACATATTTAACCCTTATTTCATGGAGGTAAGAAACAATCAACAAAGAATTTGGGGAACACTTTCTTTACGTACTCACTAAAAAACTTCCATTAACAACACTTAACTATAATACAACTATTACATCTTGAAACAGATATTAAAGAGGGAATTAAACTGATCAGAGATAACCCCATTGAGATACAAGTTTAACTTTAGCTTCAATCTGAGCAGCAAGCCTTTTTCTATGACACCTCTTTAGCTATAATATACATATTCTAATTTGATTAAAGAATTTTTTGTTTTATCTAATAAAGGAATCCAAATCAATGTTATCATATTCTGTATGTCATAACTTGTTATATCTGAAATACATAATATACCTTTCAATTTGTGGAAGCTGTTTCTTGGACTGAACTGCTTTGAGAAATTCAGTAAAATATTCTGGCTTTACAATTGGACATCCACAAATGAGTGCACAAATTGTCTAAAATGAAGAAAACATATGTGAATATATATATTCTTTTTTTAAAGAAAAATTTTAAGTTATAAACTACAAAAAGATTTTTCTATACTGTTTTCCCTTTCATCTCTCTAAATCTTTAAAGAAACCACAATCTATAATAGAAGTCAGTATTTGCTCACTGCTTAGTTTTAGAACACAAAATCACTTTATAATAACTCTATTATAAAAAGCTACCAGTTATTATATTAATTCAAAAACTGCTTTTTTGGGCTGTGGAACAACATAACAAAATAAGACATTTTAAAAATTCATTCTAATTTTAAAAACATTAAAATGTTAAAAATATAAAAAAATAAGAAAATGTTACGTATCTACTGCAAAAAAGACAACATTAGGAGATAAACAAAAGAGAGATATTTTCAACCTGATTGCTCTGTAAAAAGATTGTAACCATATAATAAGGCCTTTTAAGAAAGTAAATATTGTAAGGCTTGAGCACAAGAAGAAAAAGAAAAAGAAAAGAAAGTAAATAAAGGAACAACTATTTGGCGTTGGGTAAAAGCTCAAAATAAGTACATACAGTTAAGGGGAAAAAAACTGCTACTAATATGTGTATTAAGTTATAAGCCTCAATTAAGATATATCTACAAAATCTGAGAAAGATTAAAAAATGCTACTGTGGGCAATGAAAATGAAAATAAAGAAGATTCAGCATAATTTCTAGCAAGTAGTCCAACTAACAGTCCAACTACAGAATTTGAAAGTATGCTTTGAATAACACAGGGTATTGCCTAAACAGGAGCAAGCAGATTTAGGGTGTCTCTCAAGAGTGGTATCTAAAAGATACCAACCTCCAATGTGAATGAAATAATTAACTTCCAGCATGCAGCAGTAACATGTAATTCAGCACTGGGCTAACTAAACTCTAACACATGTGACTCTGCACAAATTACTTAACTGCTCCATGTCTGTTTGCTCTTCAGAAAATAAAAGTTGAACTGAATGCTCTTTAAGCTCCCTTTTGCTTCTGACATTCAATGGTTTTAAAAACATAAGCTAACCTGTAACTTTTGGAAAATTTACCAAAAAATATTAACAACGTATTCTTTTTTGGCACATGATTGATCAGAAATATTGAGAAAACTGCTCTGCAAACCATGTTGGTGTCTCTAATGGAGATCCACAAGGTGGCCATTAGCATCCCAGTCACTGGAATAGTGTCTCAGTCTGTCATTTCACACTCTCCAAGCAAGTGTACAATTATCCATTCCATTTCTTAAGTATCTTAACAACTTAAAGGAAACAGTGCTGGAGCCCAAACTTAAATATTCTGGTCTCTATAAAGGTGCGTACCTACACCAAACTAATAAATGAGCATTTTGATTTATGAATCGACTATCCATGGCATAAATTAATACTTGAGAGGCTAATCATGCTGCTGAATTTATAAAATCAATTTTATAAACTTGCAAAGATGAAAAAATCCTTGATCAGAGGCAACCCCACCAAGGTAAAAGTTTAACTTGAGTTTCAATCTGAGCAGTAAGCCTTTCTCTATGACACCTCTTCAGCTATAATACACGTATTCTAATTTAATTAATTATATTAAATACTGAAGAATTTTTGTTTCATCTAATAAAGGAAGCCAAATATTTTCTGCTTTTCACTGTAGATATTAACCTAAAATAATCCCACATATCTATAGTCAACCTGTTTAAAAGGAGACGAATCACCTCCCAATACCATTCTTCAATTAGCTTTGCATATAACCAAATCTGATGAAGATGCAAAATCTGAAAACATACCAAAATATATCAGTTTTAATCAATAGTCCGCATCGTCTAAGGGTACATATCTTCATATTTCTAGATTGTCAAGATACACTAAGGTAATATTAAATTACAAGAACTTAAAAGTCTTTGTGATTAGGGCCTTAGGCCAAATAAATTCTAAATAAGAGAAGATTATGAGATGGTATCAGAGACCGGCGGAAGACAATTTGACAGAAAAGATATGAGATGCTAACGTTGAAGACTGGCAGTTAATCTCTAGTTGCTTTGCTTTTTGACTGAAAACACAACTATACACTATAATAAACTTCTTGGTGAAAAGATAACATAAATCATTTTTTAAAATGCTAAATCAAAATCTGAAATCTAATTTTATGTGCTTCTGCTTGTCTCAGATAACAAACAGGTTTCCTGAAAAGCCATTCAAGTCTAAATGGTATATAAAAGGCATGAGGGGGGCATACATAAGTCTACAACTAACAGTACTGATAGTTTTGAAGTAAATTTTAAAAAAATCTTTGTGTAATGGGCGAGTGAGTAACCTTACATTCACAGGACTTATTTTAACATAACAAGGCATTCAACCTACTTTAATTGTAACTTTAACTGATATCATGACAAGATGAGTACATTCTTCTGTCCAACTGTTCACAGTAAGTCCTCCAAGTTGCAATACAGCTTGATTTAAAGCAGTTTTCCCAGAGACATCTAAACAAGAAGAGCATGCAACCAAAGGCTCATACTCTACTCTGTAAATGAGAATAAGTTACATAAAGTTATATTATCATAGTTATAGAGATGGTGATTTATAGTACTTTAAAACTTTAAGCTCACATCGTATATTGTTATTTTAATTTTAATGTATTATTAAACTTTCTAACCTATGAAATTATCACTTCCTAAGTCTTGAGTCGCAATGAGGAAAAATGAATGACCAAAAGTTAATATTATACTTTCACCAATGAGGAATCAAACAAATGTAGCTCCCATCAAGACTCACAGGGCCCACTCAAACTCTCATTCACTCTCATCACTACGACAAAAATGCACTAACCACTTGTGGGACAAACTTCACTACTGTGCCAAGTGGGAACTAAATTATATTGTTTTTAATTCATTATCCCTAAATATCCTTTCCTTTAGAATTTTACTGACATAAAATAAAGTCCACTTTAATATCAGTTTTTAAAGTTCTTACCTGAATTTACTTGCAAACACTCCAAAGGTAACTCTATCCCCTGTCTTCAAAGTTTGGGAAAGGCCATTCTGCATTTTTTCCTCATTAACAAAGGTACCATACTTAGAATTATCTTTTATTGTCAATATAGGGATTTCATCTGTTTGACTCTGAAAAATCAACAAATAATTGAAAGTGTTATACCACTCAGTATGTTCAATTCCCAGGGGAAAAGGTTTCAAAAGAAAAGGCTGATAACTTTTTGAACAGGCAGTAGATAGGTGGTTAACCTCCCAACAACTTCCCAACACAGCAGACAACAGTTATTGTTTTGGTTGCCTTCAGAGAATGATCACTCAACTAGCAATTAACATTTGCCTTTAGGGAAATTTCTTAATTCCAGAATTACCTCTCTTAGAATATACATTTTCTTTTTTTTTTTTTGTAAGTCAGTGGGGATTTTCCTGATCCCTCAATTTCACACATTTGAGAATATTTTGCTTTGGTACAGTCTGTTACATGTGTAACATGACAGCTTCACTCCTACTTCTTTTTTCTACATTACTAAAATCACATTGCAAAAACTGGTCCGATGAGAATAAGGGATTAAAGGATAGAATTTCTGACATGGTAATCATTTTATTTTCTGTAGAAATCTCAATAATGTTTTTCTATACCTAAAAGAACAGACACTAGACCTAAATATCATTGAACGAAGCCAGCACCTTTGCTCAAAATAATGGCTTTTCTTTCTTATTACCACCAGTATTTCATGAGCACAGATGTTTATAAATATTTTTATCACCTATGGTTGTAATTAAAACAAACTCAAAACCATTCAAAGGAGCTGTGGGGTATAAATGACAGCCATTTTCCTTAGTAAAACATGTCAATTCCCACTGTGAAAACTTATGTTATATGGGAAATGCCTGTGTCCACTCCACTACATAACTTCTTTAGGAGGAGGGGTCATGAAGAGCAGTTCACTGCTCTATTCTCAGGCTTGGCACAGACACTGATGCACAGTAAACACTCAAAAAAGGTTTGTTAAGTAAATAAACATAAAAATGTCCTACTTCCTCTGAGTTTCTAAATCACTAAAACAAATAGTAAAATACTGAAACAGAAACTTCAGGTCTCAAAATAAACAAATACCACTGGTACTACTGCCAAAATCTAAGTATTTAATTTTGTTAACATTTAAAAAGAAATCTAAAACACCTTTATGAAATAAAAAGTGCTAAGAACTCTCTTTCACATATGCACCAAGATAATCTTTTGTGATTTCAACCCCCCTACTGCAAGCTAATGAAATAAAATTAGTAACATACCAGGTTGGGTACAGAAAAGTTAGCAGTTAACACAGCATGATTTCGACTGATTGACTGATCTTCTCCAATTAGAATGGCACAGTTTTTCCTCCCAACAATGTACTCAACACCAGTCAAAAGTCTGTACGGTTCTCCTAAGAGAGATTTAAAATAAATAAATAAATTGATATACACACATGCACGTATGTGTATATAGGTATGAAAAATATTTAAATAAAACATTTATTTTACTATTTAAATGTCAATCAACTTTATATAGGTCAAACCTGTGGTTTCTAGTAAAGCCTCATTGAAGAATATAAAAGATTAAATGGATGGAAGGCTATACTATTTTTCTAACAGGAAAATTTTGAAAGGAGTCAATGCTTTCCTAAATTAACTTATAAATTTAATGTACTATCAAACGAAATCACAATACTATGTTTGAAACTTGATAAACAGATTAAAAAATGTATTGGGAAAATATGTAAAAAAAAAAAAAAAGGTCAAGAAAAGATTTTATATTACAGGAATTTGCCCTACTAGATGGCAAAATAGGCTATAAAGCTATAGTAATTAAAACTATGGTACTGGACCAGGAGTAAACAACATAGGTCAATACAACAGACCAGATGCAAGTGTATGTTTTTGAGAATTTTGTTTTTGTTAAAAGCAGCATTTTAAATCAGTGGGAAAACATTATTAGTTTTAAAAAATGCTGTAAACGACAAATTGTTGGAGTAACAGCATATATGTTGGAAACTTGTGGAGTTTAGTCTGGGAGCACAGGATTCCATTACAAGAGTGATAGGGTGTTAGTGAAGATAAACTAAACAGTAGGAATGAGTCCTGGAGAGCCTTGAACTCCATTCTAAGCAGTTTGGACTATATCCTGTTAATCAGAGATTCTTAACCTAGAATGGACACTTTCAAGGAAAAATTTTTATGTTGGTTTACCCACATTTTGTCTAGGGAATGCATTCACAGCTTCCATCAGATTCTTAAAAGAGACCATTATCCCCGAAAAGTTAAGATTGCCAGCCACTGATGACAGAAGCATATTCCTTCTGCTATTGTTTGTTACATTAAATTTGTCCTAACGCGGTCTCCATAGTGAACTGCAACCTAACTTAAAAGTATATTCTTGTAACAGACAACAGAGTCTCAGCCAATCACAGCAGCTGAGCTCCAGCCAATCACAGGCTTCCAACTGATCAGACCATTCCCACGTAAGGCAAATGCTGTTTGTAACCAATCAAGCTGTTTCTGTATATCACTTCCTTTTCCTGGCTATAAATACTGCCTGTCCAACCTTTGCTGGATGTAGCTCTCTGAAACTACTGGTTCAGGGTACTACCCAATTAATGAGTAGTTCTTTTCTCAAACTC